GCTGTTACTTGGACGACGTGAGTTATTTATAGTCTCTAATTCTAGCAATACCATATGTGAGCTGAAGTTGGAAGGTCATCTTTCATTTCGGATCTCAACGATTCATTGCCAAGACAGCTCTGGTTCGTCCAATCTTCACGTCCGACGCTAAACCTATTTTCCCTAGATTTATTTTCAAAAGAGACACCCGAGCACGAAAATATCCAGTTCAAGAACTCTCTGCTAAATTCGTGTTAATAATCTAACTGCTGAAAGCCTCTGTTCACTTCAAACTTAATCGGAAACCTAGCTACTTCGAGGGCTACATGGACTCTATTATGAAGACCTATTCACTCTATAGATACGAAGAGTATTGGGTTTTGATTAATCTGATATAAAATTGTTGATGAGACCTTCATTTCCTATGGAAGTGCATAAAGAAGGGATTCGTATGTTGATTGCATCAGACGATGACCAATTCCCGTTGTACTGCAGTTGTTCGGCTTTACTGTGACGTTCAGGTTGGCGCTGTCCACAACACCTTCCTTAGCTTCCGGTAAAAACGGGCTGAGCTTTTGTCCATTAAATGATTGGCATCATCAGAGTTGGAATTCATTCTTCTAAAAGTATCACTGTAATACTAGGTCAAGAAGGCCATCAGGCTCTATTTTACCTCTTATATGAACACAAATAAAAGACGAAAACGAATGGGCATAGATAGATATATAATTATTATCATTCATATTAGTCATTTTAATTTTGCTCGAATGTGTATGTGTGTCTGTGCTAAAGTCTATACGCAATATCGGTCATAAATTAAAGTGATCAAAAAACCTAATGTCATTAAGGTCATTAAGGTCTAATGACCCAAAAAAAGCCTTCACCGAGACTACTTAAGTCTATAAGCAACCCAGGATGAGATAATGAGATGTAAGCTTGTAAGCGTGTAAGCCAGGTTATGAAACCACCTACCCTAACCTCGAAGTCATTAAGGATTAACCACCAAAGGAAAGGCATGACTTGGGTTGCATAATTTCGTACATCTGGTTTGGTTGATGAGCTTAATCTAACATGGTGGACAAGTGTGAGTGAAGTTGTAATCATCACTAGGCGATCACATCACTATTTAAATAAACAATGGAAAACATTTTAACAGTAAAGGTTTGTTAGGAGGATATAGGAAATGTGAATATCCAAGGATAGAAGGGGAGACCTTTTGTTTTCTATATCTTTATTTATTCGAAAGTTCCATTGAAGCTTTCATGAGTCGGGCAACTAAACCATTCGATCTGACAACAAAACTCTCACAAACAGCCTTCTTAAATGCTTACTCAACTGTTTTTGAGTTGTTTCTTAAGCATGATAGGTCAGTTGAATCGAAAAAGCTTCTAAGTATGGAGTTTATCAGAATTCGGTTGTTTGACCTACCAATTTTGTAGTCCCACTCCTTATCGCTTTAATGGAACTTTGGACTAGTTGACTCTACATAATAAAGGATCACAAAGCTATATGGAGCTATCGTTAAATAAAAGGATCCTGTTGAGGGCGTGCGTGAATGAATGAAAAAACAATAAAAATAGGGCAATCGCCATAACGTGTTGCATGGGGACGCGACGCGGAAGGCATTCATTTGCTGCATTAAAGTAATAAGGAGATGAGGCGTTGATAGGATTTTGTTCTTGGCGAAATCATTTTTACTGAGTCGGAGCAAAGAGATTTCTGTATACACGGACTTAACGACATGGATGCTTAAGGACTTTGTCCTGGTTTTGACGCTGTTGAGCGCAGCCCTCTCATTCTCAGAGTTCCAACCGATTTGGTCAGGACGTAGATGAGGAGTTTGAAGAGATTGAGCGCCGAGAAGTAGTACGCCTCTATAATATTTTCATATTATGTCGAATTTACTAGAGAGTATTATTTATTTAAGAGCTAACCTAATATAATCAAATTAATCTTTTTTGCTAGTTTTGCCATCCATTATAACTTCATCATTTGTCCGGGCAATTTAACTTCTCTAGATCGAAACGGTCTACATCCATTCTCAATACTACCGCCAACTCTGTCTCCTTCCGAATCAGCTTTTGCAGCCCGCTTCCTGGCCTCTCGTTCTTGTTTGTTATCCTCATTTCCCGATGAACTCATTCGCTCGGCTAGTCCAAGTCACATGTATAGTTGCTTGCCCCTCGAAGGCGAAGCTAAAACCTCAATCCAGACCGTGCCTAACTTGATTGCGGATGCAATTTGTCCATCTCCACCAAATGAGGTCGCATATTTGGGGTCAACACACTTACTGCGGACATTTCAAGTGAGATAAGTATATATAGATGGTGTTTGCTAGAATTTAACTCTAATTAGAAGACATTTTAACGATATTATGGGCAAATTGGATTGATCAAATTCCATTTAACCGTGCATAACGGTAGATTGATTTCAATAGCAAACAAATTTACTGTAAAATTTGATTCAGTCGATGGCAAAGTGCTTGCCTTTGTCTCATTCGGCTTTCAGTTATTGGTTGCACTGCTTTGAGCGATAAATACCTTTACCTCAGCAATATCATCTCAGGGGGATCTTATCGGGGCAATGATTAATGCAAAGTGTTCTGAACAGAGATTGCTGATGGCTTCAGAGTAGGAAGAGGGTCTTTTATCCTGCTTAGTGAATTATTATCCTATCACTCTTAAGTGTATGAGTTTTTATAATTTTATAGGCCAATCTTCTATATAGTGATTGTTCAGGGCAAACATAAACACGCATGAACATTAATCGCCTCTTAGTTAAGATCATAGTCCAAGCACTTATATTTCGAGAATTTAACTACCCATAAAACCAGGGGAGTATTTTTATACAAATTACGTGTAAATTGAGAACATTAATTCCTGAATAGCTAATGATATGTTTTACGGTTATATTGCCTGCTGCCATAAAAAAATCTAGAGAATTTTAAATCTTTCAGTATCTATTACATCCTAACTGGACTCAACATCTGATCCTTAATCCTACTCAACTAATATTGTTTAATCTAATTGCTATAATTAGCATGGTCAGATATGCGAAGTTTTTGGCCGATAGGAAATAAGGATTTACTTACTCAAAGTTTTAAAATGGAAAGTTCTCCCTCTATAAGGATTAGTGAGCTATAGTCAACTTGACTCATTAGATAATAT